CTTTCAGCGCGACGGAAAATGAGCACCCGTTTCGCTCTACCTTCCTAGAAATACACAATATAAAATTAAAGAGTTGGCTGAAGATTTATCACATTGCTGAACATTAGTACAGCCTTGCTAAAAGATATAGTTTCAAGCACCGGTGATGACTGAGCCAGGTGGTAAACATGCCGGTGGGAAACATGCTCGGTATAAAAGGCGTTAACGTGGATTCGCTCCAGTGTTTCAAGAACAGGTATAAATCGGGCCAATCCGTAGTTGAAAAGGATATTTTTGACTTGATGACCTTCGATGTCATGCGATCTTTGAGTAGGACTGGTGTTGTGTAAAATTTAGCGGCGGGAACTTGTGCCACTGCTGGTAGTTGGTGATGGATTATGATAAGATCGGGCAATCGGTGCGTTTTACCCTGACAAGAACTCAGACAGCTGACGGGATGTAGAGCGGTGGGTTGCTACAATATGTTAACCGCTTAACGCACTCCAGCTCAATTTACAAGATAACTATGTCATCGATTTCATCTTGAAATTAGTCACAAGGATAAGAAACATCTATATAGCACATATACTGACACTACAGTGAGGATCAGCAGTGGATGACAGTCTATGGAAACAATTTTCCGAATCTTCACTTTTGAAAATTTACATTTAACCGACACCTATCTCACTTTTATATCAAAGTAGTAGTAGACAAAGCGATTTATACCATCCCGCTTGCACAACAAATCTTAATTCTCTGGAGAGAACTGTGCCTAATACTTGCAGCTATATTTGCAACCAAATTAAAGTGAAGTACAACAGGGTAATATAGTAATACTGCCATATGTACATAATATGCTGTTTTAATAATAAACTGTTGCTGAAATCATATGACAGCACAGAGTTTTGGGGCGCAATGGTAAAGTAAAGTAGCAAAAAGTAAACTTTCGAAATTCGAAAGTGCCAGGTTCGAATTGCGAAAGAGACAAAAATTTGTGTTAACTGCTGATTCTATTCAGCAAGGAACTCATCCTTTGTTGCTTCGATGTAAGCATAAAACGGATAGCAAGTCGCTGATTTCCGAACAACATAATCATTGTCACCTTGGTTGTGCGGTGTAAAATCGGCCCTGTGCTTCGCTGCGTTGCACGTCGTTTCAGCTCTGCTAGCGCTCTGAACCGTGTTCTGCTACCAATCCTTGCCGTATTGAACTTGTTTATCTGTAATCTGTGGCATCGCGAATTTTCACTCTCCATCTGCTTGCTTATATTTGATGAACTACATCGCATTGGCTGAAAAGGTGTAGAAACATGGCATCGACCCATTTTATCTACTCAAAATTGGATACGAACTGCACTGTCGCACCAGTGGAAAAATTCGAAAATACAGAGTCGTCGTTCATGTGGGTGACGTGAAAAATTGCTAGAGGAAGACTTCGGAAACGGGAGACGTGAGGAAATTGGCAGGCAGTATTGTTGCAGCATTATTTCCTTACCGTGGTATCGAATAACTATCGATCGATGGCTCAAAACCTTGACGAGCTTCTATGGCTGTTGCATCTGACAGTACGACCATGCTTTCAGATGCAACGGCCTCATGTAGTTGTACGTTGCTGTGACATACCTGGCAGCTGACTATCAAGTGTTACAATTATCAGTCGAAGTAGGCCCCCTAAATAACCACTGAATGGC